GTGAAAGGGCTTCGAAATCAAATAATCCGGATATGGGTTTCACGCATAGGAACATGCACAGGTCTATATATTCGGTTTCGGTGTACAAGATTTGCGAATGTAAAAGACGGATGGGAATATTTCATACCTACGGTAAAATAGAAAAACGAACATCCAGGTAAAAGGTTATGTTAATACTGCAAGAAAATGAATATATGACTTACAGTTTCTGATTATATTATATAAATCGAATAATCCAATATCCGATGTCAATTTAATAAAAAAGAAGAGTCATAAAAGTAAAGTAAAGGATACTATCGAAATGTAAAATGGCAAAAGAAGCTTAAGAACATTAAATAGAGAAACAACAATACTCAACAACTAAGACAAAACTAAAATACAGAAAAATAAAAAATGACAAATAATGACATACACATTAGAAAAAGGGGCAGATAAAACAAAATACAAACGTTATACAAGTCTTGATATAGCTCTGAAAATACAGAGGAATATCGCTTCTAAACACGACCATGAAGCTAATCTTCGCAGTATAGCAAGACTATATAGATGTACCGAGAGACTTAGAACAGGTAGACCTACATAAGACGAACAGTTTACAATAAAACAGATACAACAAATCCAATATATTTACTTGTAAGATTTTACCAAAACTTTTGACAAGAACGTAAACAACAAAGAATAAAAAATAAGCGAAGCTCTACTATGCAAATGAGGCGTAATAATAGCCGATATCGAGCTATATACAGATACATTTGCATAAATTTGATCACATAAACATATCAATTGAAAAGACATGTTGCATGGTTTCAATTCAAAATTGTAGGCAACAACAAAACTGTAAAACAGATATCACAGTTTAATCATTTAGGAATTTGCCAACTAAATAATTAACTAACAAATCGGAACTGTTAGGATGTCTTTTTAAGGTATCTATTTACTATGTATGTTGACGACTAAAATGGCTATTGTCATTGGTAGCAGCTCTATTTAGTCTGGTGGTAGACAGTGAAAACTACTTTCTAAGGTTATCTTCTTCTTCTAAAGGTGTCTATCTTCTAGTGATGTTGGAAACCACATTGACCCATCTTATTCTATTCACAGCAGCTCGAAATAGATCAGTTGACGTTAGATCAATCTATTTTTTAAGATTGGCCAGTCAGGATTTACATCTGTCTCCAGGAGGTTTCTTGAGCTCAATCTTGCCATTTTCTGTACTTTTTTTCTTCTGCTAGTGCCTATTCTCTATGGATGTTGGCTCCCACAATGGCCCATCGGATTTTATTAGCAGCTGTTCCAAATAGATCTGTGGTGGTCATACCTGTCCACTGTCTCAAATTCTTAAGCCAGGATATTCCCTTTTAATATCAATAGTAGAATTCTGTATTTATTTTCATTTCTCACTACATGTCCGAAGTATGCTAACTTTCTCTCTTTCATGGATTTCAAGACTTCAGGTTCTTTTTGTAAACGTGCATTACTGCGTCGTTAGTTATATGATGTACATATGATATTCTGAGCATGCGACGATAGCACCACATCTCGAAAGACTGCAACCGTTTGCAAGACGCATCAGTGAGTGTTCATGCCTCTGCTCCATACATAAGAACAGAAAACACATAACAATTGCGGATTTGGAGTCGGAGATGTAAGTTCAAGGTTAAATTGCAGAGAACTTTCTTCATCTCTTGGAAGGCACTCTTTGCTTTTTCGATCCTACATTTAATCTCGTATGAGTGATCCCAGCTGTCTGTAATGTTGCATCCTAGGTATGGTATATTTTCTGTTCTATCCTAAACCTTATTGTCTGCCATAAACTTTGCATGTGTATCTTGGTTCTTGCTGTATGTTAGTTATGTAGTGTATATATGAGACCCTTATCATCCGCCGGTAGCACTACATTTTAAATGCCTCTAACCGTTTCATAGTATCTTCTGTAAGACTCTAATTTTCTACCCCGTAGAAGACTAACGACGTAAGATTTAAGAATTCTTATGCGTATATTGATACTTAAAGATAAGTTGTGAGAATTTTCCCAAGGACCGTTAAAAGAGCTTCTGGTTTTTTCAATATCAGTATTTATTTTATAGCTATGATGCCAGGTATCTATCTTTAATATTGCAGCTCAGATGGCATATTTTCTTCATTCATTCTAAGATGTATCCTTTATTATAATTAGGGCGTTTATGTTGGTGTTCTTACTAATGATCATTATTTTTATCTTCTTACAATTTAGTTTTAGGCCGTATTTGTAACATGTTTCCATAATTTGTCTAGAGCTAGGAAATTCTTCGTCTGTCCAAACCTCTTCTGCTTTGTACTTTTTCTTGCAATATAAGCTGCAGTATACCATAGCGCTGTTGATTCCACATTAATCTCATCCAGATATTCTAATTTATGCTTCTTCATAGCTAAAACAATTTTTTATTCCTTACCGAACCTTCTTCTTCTTCAAGTGCCATCTACGCGGCGGAGGTCGGCAATCATCATAGCTATTCAGATTTTTGAGATGGCTGGCTGCTCTGAAAAGTACATTTGATGTACATCTGTACCACTCTCTCGGGTTGCGCAGTCATGACATTCTACGCGTCCCTATGCTTCTCTTTCCTTGGATCTTTCCCTGCATAATCACTTAGAGCAAGGTGTACTTCTGTCTATGTGTAATAAGTCTGAGATACTCCAATTTTCTTGTTTTAATTGTATTTAAAATTTCTGTTTCTTTATCCATCCTTCTCAGAACTTCTTTGTTTGTGATGTGTTCTGTCCACAATAGTTTCAGAATTCTTCTATTCACCTATAGCTCGAATAATTCCAGTTTTTTCATTGATATCACATTCAAGGTCCAAGATTCCATTCCTTGAAACAAGTCGAAAAAACATATCACCTCTCCAACCTAACTTTTAGTTCCAATTTTAAATCTCTTGTAGATAGCACTTTTCTTATTTTGTTGAAATTTGCTCTAGCCTTTTCTATTCTGATTTTAATCTCCTGAATGTAGTCATTTGTGGAGTTAATCATTGTTCCTAGATATGCATATTTGTCCACTTGTTCTACGTTGGTTCCGTTTATAAGAAGATTTTCGTTATTTGTTTAAGTTCTCTGAAGTGTCTGAAGTCTCTGAACAGTGTCGTCGGCATATCTAATGTTGTTAATGGGAACTATATTTCCAGCTGTCTCACCCTCAAAAGATTTTTTCAGGTACTCTTCGGAGTACGCCTTAAATAGAATTGGCAACAATACGAATCCTTGTCTCACTTCACGTCTAATTCTCCAGGTCTATTTCTTCTGACAGCTGTTCGCTAACACGTACTTTTGCTCGCTGTTTATATTATAAATAAGATATGATCCTGAGGTCGTTGTAATCGATCTTTATTATAGTCAATAAAACATGAGTATATATCTTGATTGACGTCCAGGCATCTTTGTATCAATATATTAAGTGAAAAAAAGAGCTTCATGTATTCCTAGGTCTTTGCAAAAACCAAATTGTGTATCATTAACGGCTCTATTCAGTTTGTGATATATTCGGTTATGTATGACTTTTAATAGTAACTTTAGAACATGAGACATCAAGCTAATGGTGCGGTAATCGCTGCATTCTCTCGCGTTTTTTTGGGAGACAAATAAAAATCGATGTTAACCACTCTTTGGGTAGGTAATTCGTCTGAACTATAAATTTGGTTCAAGAGGGCCACTAAAACATCAATGTGTTTCTCATCTAGAATTTTTAGGATTTCTATAGGAAGCATGTCGGTCCAGGGTTTTTCCCATTCTTCATTGTTTTAATGCGTGTAATATTTCTTCTTTTGTAATATATGGACCTATTTCTTCTGACGTAAGTTCTATGTGCTACAGATTTCCTCTTTCATCATCGAACAGTTTGTCGATATATTCTGCCCATCTTTGTACATTCTCGTCCGTCTGTGTTATAGTAGTCCCGTGTCTATCCAGAAGTGTACCAGTAGGATTTTGTTTTCTTAGTCCTGCCAGTTCTTTAACTTTCTTGTGTAGGTTAAACAGATCATATTTATTTTAAAGGTCTTCGATCTCTTTGCATTTCTCTTCAAAATATTTTTCTGTTGTCTGCTTTATCATCTTCCTGATCTCGTGGTTTATCTCTCTGTATTTATTGTTGTCTTTATTTTTAAATTCTCTCCGTTGTTCCATCATATTGAGTATCTCGTCATTCATCCATTTTTCTTTTCTCCTTGAGGAAGGCTTTAGTATTTCTTCACAGGGTTTCAGTAGACAATATTCTAGCCAATTGCAGTACTCGTCAATATCATTGGTGTTTGTGTTCAATTTGCTGCAGTTCACAAGCAGTTCATATTGGAGACATTCTTTTACGTTAGTTTTTTAAGTTTTCTTGTGCCTATTATTGGGATTCTTTTATGTTTTTTAATATTCTTAAGGATGAGTGTAATCTTGGTGATAAGTGGATTGTGATCTGAGAGCGAATCTTCGTATGAGCTCAATGTTTGATACGCAAACTACTAAATAGTTTGAAGTCCACCTTACAAGAAATATGCTTAACCAATATTCACAGATCCAAAATAGATTGTTTTTAGAAGTTAAAATTTTGTTGCAAATTTGCTGAATGGTTTATTGATATTTAAATTATATACATTGCTGCCTACATATCTGTAATTTTTAACTTATTTAAATGATTGATCTGCGAGATGAGTGTTACGAAATGCTTTTAAATCAGCCAACAAGTTTTCTGCCAAAATGCTGTATCTTCTTTTTAACTTATGTTGTCAATACGTTAGTTTTTTATTGTTTTTCCTAAGAAGATTCTTGATCATTATAAAACCTTCGCCTTTTCCTACGTATTGCTAAATTGAGACCACTTGAAACACTTCAAAAGTCATAAGCAACGCAAAGAAAACACAAAAAGAGATAACATTGTGTTGAATTTTATCAAATACGTTTTTTGATAGTCTGCAACGCATAGGTATATAACAATATTATATTTATTTTATATAAAAAAAAATTATACTTACGTCACTCATGTCTCCAACATCAAGATTCTTTGTATCCGGGCCCGGGCCGTTGGAATCGGCCTGCGGGCCGGTGACCGGCGTCCACGGCGACGAAATGGTGCTAGCAGTCAGGACGCTGCCTGTAACAAGAACAAAATATTATTTCTATTATATAAATTATGAGATGCAACACGACACTAAAATTATTACTTGTTTATTACATATTTATTACTTATATATTTATTGCAAATGTTACAACCCAAAGATGATACGCCCAAAAAGCTATAAATATTTTTTTAACAACCCAATTATTAAAAACAGAGTAAATCTTCACTGCAAGCTTGTACAAACAAAGCTACATTTTTTTGCAATATTTTCTCAATTTTGCCATGGCTTAATTATGAACAAATGAAACTTTTTTCTAGGGCCTACAAAAACATATGACGAAAAAAAAAAATCTGACGAAATATTTCACCTTAACATCATAACAGCTGTTGTGAGTAACTAATACCTAAATTTGGTCTTCTTCTTCTTCTTGTGGTGCCTATCCGTTACGTATATTGGCAACTAGCATGGCAATTCTAACTTTATTGACCGCAGCTCGAAATAGTCCTGAAGTGGTCAAGGAAAACCATTTTCGTAAATTCTGGAGCCAAGATATTCTTCTTCCTGGTTCCCTCTTTCCGTAGACCTTTCTCTGTAGTATAAGTTGCAGCAGGTTATATCTATGGTCGCTTCGCATTATATAGCCAAGATATTCTAGCTTGCACTGTTTCACTGTGGATATAGGTTCACATGTCTTATCCATCCAACGTAGAACCTCAATGTTTGTTACTCGGTCCACCCAGGAGATCCTCAGTATCCGTCTATAACACCACATCTCAAACGCCTCGAGTTTTCTCATGGATGCCTCGGTTAGTGTCCATGATTCAACCCCATAGAGCAGCACTGTAAACACGTAGCATCTCAATAAACTGATTTTTGTTTTTAAGGGTAGGTCGTGGCTCTTAAATCTCTTGCTCATTCTGACAAACTCTGACCTGGCTTTTTCAATTCTCTGTTTTATCTCAACTGAGTGTCCCATTGGTCGTTTATGGTGGTTCCTAAATAGTAGTAACAGGGCACTTGGAGTATTTGTTGCTTATCTACCAGTAATTGTCTGGGTGGAATATGCTTCTTACTGATGACCATGTACTTGGTTTTTTTTTATGTTAAAATCAAGCCAATACAGCAAATTTAAATTTGGTAAGTATTTAAAATACACTAGCTTTCAGAGCCTTTATTTTCACCTTCTTCTTCTTTAAGTGCCATCTTCGTTCCGAAGGTTGGCAATCATCAGGGCTATACGTATTTTCGAAACTGCTGACCGAAACAATTCGTTGTTGCTACAGCTATACCATTCCCGTAGATTCTTTAGCCAGGAGTTTCGTCTTCTTCCTACGGACCTTTTTCCTGCTATTTTCTCTCGCATAATTATTCGAAGCAGTTCATATCTTTCGCCTCTTGTAATGTGTCCCAAGTATTGCAGTTTTCGTTTTTTGATCGTAAATATGACTTCCTTTTCTTTATTCATTCTTCTCAAGACCTCGACATTTGTGACTCTCTCGGTCCACGATATTCTCAGGATTCTGCGATACATCCACAGTTCAAATGTCTCTAATTTTTTTATATCAACATTTTTCAACGTCCACGACTCGATTCCGTAGAACAGCACAGAAAGTACGTAACATCTCATCAGGCGAAGTTTCATTTCAAGGCTCAAATCTCTTCCGCAGAACACTCTCTTCATTTTAGTGAATATGGATCTGGCTTTTTCTATTCTTATTTTGATTTCTGTTGAGCTATCGTTGTCTTCATTTATAAAAGTGCCTAAATATTTGTATTTGCTAACTCGGTCGATAATTTCATTGTGTAAATATAAATTTTGGACATTTTGTGTTGATTTCGATATTACCATAAATTTAGTTTTCTTTATGTTCAAAGATAGTCCATATTCTTCGCTGCAGTCTGCTATCTTATTCACCAATGTCTGTAGTTCTTCAAGTGTTTCTGCGATCAAAACGGTGTCGTCGGCAAATCTTACACAAATTGTTTAATCTAACACCATTTATTTTAATACCTACGGATTGCTCAGAGACTGTTCTATTCATTACGTCTTCGGAATAGAGATTAAACAGAGTTGGTGACAGTATACACCCTTGTCTCACACATCGCTTTATTTCAATTTCTTCAGTGGTATTATTCTCTACTCTCACTACTGCTTTCTGATTGTAGTACATATTTGCTATTAGTCGAATGTCTCGTTTATCTAAATTCTTTTCTGTCAGGAGTCTGATTAGGTGATCATGCCGCACTTTATCAAAGGCCTTGTTGTAATCTATGAAATACATGAATACATCTTGATTTATGTCAAGACATCTTTGAGACATAACGTTCAATGCAAACAACGCCTCTCTTGTTCCGAGTCCATTTTGGAATCCAAACTGTGTATTATTGATGTCCATTTCCAGTTTTCTGTGTACTCTAGAGTGTATAATTTTCAGGAACATTTTCAGTACATGGCTCATCAGACTGATTGTACGGTAATCACTACATTGTTTGGCATTTATCTTTTTTGGTATAATAACAAAGGTGAATAAAAACCATTCTTGTGGTAGTTTTCCTGATGTATAAATGCTATTGAAAAGTTCAACTAAAATGTGAATCGAGTCTTTTTCTATTAGTTTAAGGATTTCCGTTGGTATTTCATCTCGACCTGGAGCTTTACCATTTTTCATTCTTTTAGTGCGTACATTACTTCCTCTTCCGTTATTTCTGGACCTTCGTCTCCTTGTATGTTACTTAGCTCAGATTATTGTCTATCATCTGCAAAGAGTTCTTCAATATAGTTTTTCCATGTCTTCAACTGTTCTTCTAGTTCTGTTATTATGTTTCCGTTGACATTATACAGGGTATTTGGCTGCTTACGTTTTTGTGTACCTGCAAGTTCTTTCACTTTTTTATGTACATTAAAAATATCATGTTTTGCCTGCAATTGCTCTATTTCTTCACATTTTCTTTTATAAAAATCTTCTTTTGCTATTCTGATTTCTATTGTGATTTCTTTCTGTATTTGTTTATACCTTTGTTCGTTTTTTCCTTTCATTATACTCCGATTGTCCATGAGAAGAAGGATCTTATCAGTCATCCACCTTTTCTTTATTTTTGGTTTTCCTTGGGTCAGAATTTTCTTCGCAGGACCTGTTATCGCCATTTTTACGTTTTGCCATTTTTTTATCTATGTTGTTCGTTGGCTGAGATGTTTCTTTTTCATGAAGTATTTTCAAATTATTATTAATACATTTTTGCAGTTTTTCTTTTACCTCCAGGTTACATAAATGACTGACGTCTATCCGATTTGCTCTTCTTTTCTGCTCCAATATTTTTAGTTTAATACTCATTTTCACCTTAAATCACGTTAATGCAAAAAAATACATACATTTCGATCAATATCTCTATCTCTTTGTATGGTTTCTGTTTTGTACGTATTTTCCAACAAGTAAAATAACTGAAAAAATAATAATTAAACCAACAGCTATAACCCATAACCCTTTCTTTAAAAAGTATAGTCTCCCACAGTGTCCGAGTTTCATTAATTTACCTGTTCACTCCACTCAAATTTATCCAAATGGATCAAAGCCCACTTTAAATTAATTGCACAAATGAACAAAATGGATTCGAATGGCATGGAATTTCTTTATTGCTTCATAGTGCGCTCTGTATGTTTTAAATATACGCTTTGTGCGTGTTCATTTTCAGCTACAATAGATATTTTTTTCATAATATTGTTTTATGTACTAAAATTTCATTTACAACTGGATACTTCAATTTTCACGATTTGATGTTTGTTATTTGAGCTCTAGTTTTGTATGTTTTAGAAGTGGCTTTAAAAATTCAAAAAACAAGGTTAGTGGAATGATATAAAAAAGTGAGGTTTATTTTTTATTGAATGTGACGATTGATTTATATTATGGAAAAAAAAACATAAGATTTTTTGATGTTTTATAAAATAAAATAAGTTTTACGTCTTCTAATACGACTTAAAACTTTATAATTATAAACTATATATAAAAAATATAAAATTTGCATCTCATATTTATAATTCATTGGTTGGTTGGTCATATAATTCTGAATGACCAATTTGAGACATTACAGCTTTCCCTCTTTAACTTATTCAGCTAAAGACTTCTTTTTCTTCTTCTTTTGGCATCATAACCCTGGATGGGTCTTTGCCTGTCTGGCTATGTCCTTCCATTCAGATCTCTCTTGTGCCCTTCTTCTCCATTGTCTTATGTTCATTGTTTTCAGGTCGTCTTCCACGTCATCCAACCATCTCGTTCTGGGCCTTCCTTTTTTTTTGCCTTCCTATGGGCTTCCATTGTAACATTTTCTTTGTTGTTCTTGCATCGTTTTGTCTCTGCACATGTCCCAGCCATGACAGTCTTTGACTTTTCACAAATCTTACAATGTCATAACCTTCATTTAACTCATTAACCTCGTCGTTTCTCCTGATTCTCCATGTACCATCTTCCTCTTGTACCGGGCCATATACTTTCCTCAGTATTTTTCTCTCGAATGTCCTGAGTTGGGCTTCTCTTTTTTCGTCATTACCCAAGTTTCACATCCATAGGTTACTACGGGTCTAATCAGTGTTCTGTAGTCATTTTGGTTCTTTTGTCTAATAATTTCGATGTCATCAATCTTTTATTAGCATAGTATGTACGATTCCCGCTGGAAATACGTGCATTAATTTCGCTACTTACGAAGTTCTTCTGATTGATTTCTGTGCCGAGATATGTAAAGGAATCCACTCGTTCGATAGTATAGTTGTCTATTGTGATATTATTTTCATTGTCAGTTATTCTTTTGACTGTCATATACTTCGGTTTTGCTTCGTTTATTTTGAGACCTCTTTTTCTTGCATCAGGATCAATTTGTTTGAACACTTCCATTAGTCGTGGCTTATTCCTACTAATGATGGCTACATCGTCTGCATATGCAGTAATTTGTACTGATTTGGTGTTTATATGGCCGGTTATATTGGTTTTTCTGATGACTGCCTCAAGAACTAGGTTGAATAGCATGGTTGATAGGGCATCTCTCTGTCTTACTCCCATGTTGATGTTAAACATGGGAGTCAGTTCTCCATCTACTCTGACTGCGGCTTTTGAACCCTGCAACGTCATTTTTATGAGGCTGATGTATTTCTTTGGTCTGAATCCATTTTGATAATCACTAATTATATTTTCGGAGTATTCTAATAATCTATTGTAGATTATACCAGAAAGAATTTTGTATTTTACATTTAGCAATGTAGTTGGCCTATAATTCTGGCATTCCCTCTTATCTCCTTTTTTATATATTGGCTGTGAGGCCAACTGTCCATTCCTCTAGCATTTGCTCCTTCGTCCATATTAATGTTATTAGGTAATGGATTCTTTCCCAGAGTTCGGATCCTCCATGCTTTAATAATTCGGCCGAAATTCCGTCTGTTCCTGGTGCTTTATTGTTTTTTAGTTTATTTATTATCTGAACTACTTCTTCATAACTCGGATTTTCGATGTGCAGCTCCGCCGTATAATATATTGTCTCGTTCTGATCATTTTCGTTGTCTGCATTTAGATTTTCTTTAAAATATTGTTTCCATCTCATTATAATTTTTTGCTTCTCTGTTAGTAGTTCTCCATCCTTGTCTTTGCATATCGCTAGTTTTGGTCTAAATGAATGTGTGCTTTCTTTTATACATTTATAGAATTTTCTGCTTTCGCGTCTGTTGTTAATATACGCGAAAAGACTATTCAGCTAAAGACTATAAAGTGTTATCCACACGTCGTGGATATAACATTCGAAAAAAATGACAATTTCATCCTCGAGGGTGCTTTAAAGACTCATCACCGGGAAAAATCCAACGTAGAGTAGTCCAGGTCGATGAGGCTAGGTCTGATATCTATTACCTGTATAATTTATTTCCATATTTTAATCCCATCTCCATTTATCATCTATCTAATTCCATTTCCATTCTATCTATTTATTAAGTTATGTATTTATTACTATTATATTCTTCCTAAGTTGTATTAGAAGCAAAAAGTTTAAATATACATTCTCGTAATGAGAATAATGGCATCAAGCCATCGTCTACTACTTTCTAGGTGGAGGAAGGGTTGGTGGTAAGAAACCACAGCATATGTCGTGGACAACCATATCCTAGCAAAACCAGTCTCGGTCTACAAATATATGTCTCGGGCTACAAGTCCATAACGAGAAAATTAAAGTAAAGTAGCACTTGCAACAAACAGCAGAACCCCGAAAGAAACCCTACAGAACATAAAGCCCTATAGTGGAGAATGCCTAGCCAGACAATGGGTTCGCTATGCTCTGAGAGTGAAGAGAGCGAATCTGTTTTGAAAACAATGATATATAGACACTAGGTCCAATCTAAATAGCACACAGTGATAGTGTAGACACATAGTAAAAATACATCACTTAAGAAAGGCAGTCGGTCGAAACGGCTGTGGTGATAATAAATTATAATAAATTTTGTGGAAGTGTTAAAAATTTTAAGTGATTTATTGTTATATACAATGAATTTCCATCTAGTAACGGTCGAATCCATCACTTATTTAAAAAAAATATACATTGTAAACTTCCTATTTGGTATGAAACCACCACAATGGTACTTATATCTACCGGTCAGATGTATGGTTCTGAAATTTTAATTGAAAATACGTTCTTCTTCCTAGTTTAGTTAAACTTAAATCTCTGGCCCTCTATACGATATATCGAACGTATATAGTTTTAAGACATATAGTTCTCAGAATTCAAATTTATTTTGAGAATGATTCGCAGGTGGAAATCGAAACAACAAGTTTGTGACTTATTTCTTATGTGACTTCTTCCTTATATGACTTATTCCTTATATAATTTATTTTGTAGTAACAAAACGGTCACCACTATTTTTTTAATAATTAGTTCTATCTTAGATGTTACAATATTAATCACCTTCATAGACATGTTTTATCTAAACCTCATTATCAGGTGATCTATGGTTTTCCGTTCATATTTCCTTCAGAAACTTCTTCATCATCTTAATTTAGGACTAAGTCCTGTTCATTCTTACAACTAAGTCTTCGGACTCCGATTTCCAGCTGTCGCACCATTGTTTTTGAGGTCTCCCAAGTGGTCCCGATGTATTGGTTTTTTCAGACCTTGCAATTTTTTCGAGCCTCTCATCGTCCGTTCTATTGAAGTGGTTTTCCTACTCCCTCCGTCTCTGTCTAGCCTATCTTACGATATCTAGGATGAGGCATTGTTCTCTTACAAACTCATTCTTTTATCATTATTTTTCGGTTCTAAAGAGTGTAACCAGTTCGAATAACATTCAGGAAAATGGTATTCATTAGTAGCTGCGTTTTCGGTATTCTCCAGCTGTTACTCCTCTTCATTGAATATTTTACTTCCAAAATATCCTTCCGATTCATTTGTTGACATTTTCTTTCCATTCCTAAGCATATTGCATATTTTTTTCTGTCCTTCCTAGAGATTGTATTCCATGGCTGCTGAAAATCACTAGCTTCTTTTTATGGATTGAATTCTTGCAGTTAATTATGGAATAATGTTAGGAACTTACACGTCAGAAATTATTCCTACTATTGGATTATTATTTCAACGTTTAATCTTTACTTAATCAAGCTAGAAAATTAAACAGTGATTTCCTGTTTATGTTCCTTTACAATAAAATATTTTGACGATTCCTTAGCAGAACAATTTTTTGACCAGATTGCTCCACCGTCTGTAAGAAATTGCAAAACTCGTGCTTATTTTTTTAATAAGCAATATCATGTTTTGTGGAACCTTTTTGATACTTTTGAAGCTGTAGCAATATATGAAGCATTAAGATACTTTTAAAAAACTTCTAATAAAAAAACAGAATACATCTGTTACAATAGTATCTGACCTATTATCTGTTATGTAATCCATTAAAACTTTAAATTTTTCTAATAATAACTCAAACATATAGTCCTTCAAATTAAAAAACTTTTTTACGATATTTATAAAAACCAAAGAATTGTTAATTTTTGTGGATTAAAGTACACATAGGTCTTCTTAAATACAACGAACATGTTGACTGTTAGCTAAAACAGACATTACTGAAATGCAAATTGGTCACCAAATCTGTAGACAAATCATATCAATAATAATTAAAAATAATATCAATATACATTAGCATGTTGTGAATGGCTGTAGGGAATTTGCCTATGATCTAATTAATTGTACCCATGTCCCTTCATTTCTGCATCGATTGGTACCATATCTCGTCGTACAGCATAGGTGATCCTACAGAATTTGCCTTTCAGTTTTCTAGTAGGCACAACAGAACCTCTTGAGGTACTCAATCAAAAATTCCTCAAAATGAATGCGTATAATATGAACGTTTGTTTATTAATTATTATTTCAAATGACAAAATCTTCGTATGACAAAGTAGTTTTATATCTTGAAAATCTCATTTGACTTTATACATTCTAATAAACGCTTTTCCATTCGAACTAGCACTAGACGAAACAACGAAAGCTTATATGTAGCAGTGTATAAAATATTGGTTCCCTGTCAACCAGTGGACGTTTAGTTAGTGAATAAAAGGTGACATGAGATGAAAAACAGATTAGCTAAAGAAAAGTTCGTCTGGTATTTGTCTAAGGTCCATAATTAATTAAACAAACTTGATATCTAACTTATCTCCATTCTTATCCACACCTTATCCAAACTTTTTAAGGATATTGTTGGTGCAATTGCTTTACCATTTATATTATTTTTTGTACTACTTGAACAACTCCGTTTCTTAGTTTAGTCACCACTGCTTTCAATTCTTCCTTTGACCTTTTCCGCTAATTCAACTGGATTCTTATCACATACTTAATATGCTATTAACATATTGCCTTCCTTTCATTTCACTATTTTATTGAATTTATTGGATATTACTTAATTTATCTTTTATATTAAATATAAAAGCATTCACATATTTACAACTTCCATTAAGGTTGGAAGGTGTTTAATATCTTCTCTACTTCTAATATTTTTCTGTTAAAATCACTTGATACATCTGCCAGAACTTATAATGTCATGTGGATTTAAATTAAAAATATGAAAATGTCATTTACTTTGAGTATTCACCAATTTTCCAAAGTTTCTTTGTACCATAAAAGCAAAAAAGCTTCGGAACGGGGTATGCAAAGGTGGATTCTGTACATTACGTACGTTTATTCAGGTCTCGGAAAATAAGACAAAGTTCTCGGCTTTGCAGAATGCTTTTGATGATGTTTAAAATTGTTGGAATGGAAAATTAAGCAGAAGAGCGTTTTATAGTTTCGTTGTTGAGAATGGTGACTTGATATTTGAGATATACGATACACTCTAAAAGTATTTTGCTGCAAATTCTAAGATTCTTCTATCTGGGGCATATTTTATTCGAGCATGATTAAAAAAAAAGGCAGGTAGAATCAGAAACGGACATAAAATAGTAATTATATAAATAATAGTAGTAAAAATTATTTGAGAATATTTTAAGAACCTCTGGGTTTAGGTAAGAAAGACATTAATATTGGATAGCAGTAAAATATTAAAAACTCAGAAAAATGGCCATAATTATTATCTGCAATATATACTGGAATCATGAGTATATTTCTACTGCTAATAGCAATAACAACTACGTCAGCATAAAACGAGAGTACGTCCTGTCTCCGCTTCTCTTTAGCGCCTATGAGGAAGATATTATTAATCTCTGGAGGAACGCCCAAAGAGTGCCAAAATCAATAGATCATCAATAACCTTAGATTTACAGATGGCACTGTGGTACTGACTGAATCGGAGGTAGAGACACCAATGAATGTCCTGTCCGAATCGAGTTCCAGAATGGGATTAGGATACACTCCTAAAAAAACCAAAACTTTTTGACCGTGGAACTTACAAAGAAAACAGCGCGAAAGAAGTTATCGAAAATACTAACAACCAAAACGTTTACAGCTGGACCACTCAAAAGGAATTAAGATACTCATTGGAATGCCAGGAGCGGTTTTGTAAAATGAAAAAATTTCTATGCCACCCGAAGTTGGCGATCCAGATAAGACTTCTGACACTTTGTAATAAATATGTACAAGAGGTTGGATATGCAGATATATTCACACCATTAGACCATCTACATTGAAAATGGATCTAAAAATAAATACCCGAAAGAAACGCTCCTTTAAGTCAAGTAATCAGATACCTCGACTAATAATCGATTATGTGAAATTAAAAGGTGATTGAAAGCCATTACTGACAAAAAACAACGTCAGCATTAAAGCAATTAAAAAATAGTAGTGTTGGCTAACGTTACTACGTAGTTCATGTTGTGAGACCGCTCCCATATAAAAAATGTTTCTTTGCGGATCCCTGTTCAAAAATGTTTCCTTTAAACAAATCTAGGGAGTGCCAGGCAAAATTTTTGGAGAGAAATTGTTTAAACACATTACAAAAATCAGGTTTGCGCCTCCTCCTCTATCCTTTATCGTTCGTAAGGATATGCTGACAGAGAGTAAACGGTAGCGCACTTTATTTGGTCTGACCATCGGTGTGGCGATCTTCCTCGAGTTCTTTTACCATCTACCTTGCCTTCAATCACCAACCTCTCCATGCCTTTCATTAGTCTGGTAATGTGTCCAAAGTACCTCAATATATTTTGGTTGATGATTGTGGTAAGCTTAGTATTGATGTCGAGTTCTGTCAATATTGCGACATTTGTGCGATGTGCTGTCTAGAATATGCGCATCATTCTACGATATAACCCTATTTTAAAGGCCAAAGGCGCAGCATAGCGACGCGCTATGCTGTGTCTTATAATAAAATTTAGTGGACGCGCATAAATGTCTTTTTAAAAATGAAACAAATGTTTACGTCCCAAACACTCAATCTCAAAATCCGATACCGAATGCTGAAATGT